CGCCGCGGCCTCCGCCGCCGCCGCCTGCCTGGCCACCCCGGAGCTGGGCAGCAGCCTCAAGAAGAAGAAGCGGCTCTCCCAGTCCGATGAGGACGTCATTAGGCTGATCGGACAGCACCTGAATGGCTTAGGTCTCAAGTAAGTGTCCCTCACCGGCAGCGGGCGGTGGACGGACCGAGGGACGGCGGCTGGCAGAGCTCGGCCGGGGGGACTTGCTGCTGGGCACGCGAGGCCCAGGCCGGCCGCGAGGGCAGCGGACCCGGAGGGACGTAGGAGAATCCGTCAATCTGACGGATGGTGAGACAGGACAGAGGGCCGCGGGGTTGGGGCGGGGGAGTAGACAGCAAGAGAACGCTCCTCTCCACACACCTCCAGAGCTTCATTGTCGGTAAAGACAGATGCGGGAGTGTGTCTCTGTATGTGTCGGGGGAGGGGTGGATTGGAGCTGGTGGAAATAATGAACCTTGGAAGATTTGTTTTTCAAGCACACCTTAGAGGCATCTTGTGGGACACCTCCCCACCCCCACCCGTGACAGACAACAACCCAGGCAAACTACCAGTCAGGAACGACAATCACCTACAAGTGTTTAGGAGAACTGGGGGGCTAGGACAATTTGGAAAGAGGTTTTTGAATAAATCTGATGGGAATAATGAAGTAGGGTACCGTGTTGATGTCATTTAAAGGCCTTTATGTGTACAAGAGGCCTACCACTAGTCTGAAATCCCAGTTTAATACCAACAAGATTATTGTCTTTGGAAGAGGTATATCTGATTTGGGAAATCATTTGTTTTAAAATACAGTAGAGTGGCCTTGTGTACCTAACATAGGGTGAAGGTAGACACCGACCTTGGCCCCAAAACACCCTTTTGTACACACACAAAGAAAAACTAAAGGGGTGGAAGGTAGGATTGGTGGGAGTGCCCTGAAGCCCGATGGAGGATGGAAGAGGTGCGACAGGCAGAACCAGAATGAGGTGAGGGGAAAATACATGCAACAGTCAGTTTCCTAGCCTCAGAGGGTAAATTAAAATAAACTCAGGCTGGCCACCGTGTGGTTTTGGACTCATGGATTTGTCGGGAAGTGGGTAAAAGGACGGCACATTTTAAAAGTGACATGAGTATTTTGATTCTCAGGCAGATCATTGCATAGTTTAACTGAAAAATAAGTAAAGCTGAATAAGAAAGCATTGAAAACATACACAGTCAATAAAACTGAAAAATAAAGGTTCTTGGATATCAAAATATCTTATGGAAAAACGACATTTGATGACTCTTTTAAGCTCTTAAAGAGAAATATATTGTAGTAAGATTTCACTTTATTCCCTAAGGAGAAGGATTAACATGAAAACAGATTTTGTAAATGCTAACAGAACATTTTACTGAGACAAGAAGCAAGCTGACAGCAGCAGGAGGAAATAACTCGTGACTGTTTGGAACCTACACCATAGTAAATTTGCTATTTTTAGTACAGAGAGAAAGAGAATGATTTTTGATGCTGGATTTATTTCAATTTTAAAGATTGACCTAGTAGAATTTCTGTGCGAATGTAGTATCAGGATGTAAGGCTCTTACCTAACACAAGTCATCTCTGTCACCTTGTATGGAGCTGACAATTTTTTTCTTCAAAATGTAGCACCATGGGTAGTATGTAGATCCTGGTTTTTCATTTATTTGACCAGTTGATAACACAATTTTATAAAGTTTATACTTCATTAAACTTTTGAGGTATTAAATGAGAAAGTAGGAAGAAATTTCTGGTTTCAAGAAAGGTTTTTAAACTTGACTAGGAATAAGGGTAGGTGGCAGTTTTAAATCAAGTTTAACAAAGCACATTAAAGCTTTTTTTTTTCCCCCCTATATCATGAGGTTAGCTTAAAAACTTTGCAACTGTTTTCATAGACATTAGTTTATTTGGAAGAGTAAAACCCTAAAATTGGCCAGGTCTTTTTTACACTGTATCTCTCCTGCAGCCAGACTGTTGATCTCCTCATGCAAGAGTCAGGATGTCGTTTAGAACATCCTTCTGCTACCAAATTCCGAAATCATGTCATGGAAGGAGACTGGGATAAGGTAAAGTAGGGCATATAGAGCTGTGTGACTGCTGCTAAGATTATATATTTGATGTGCATTTTGTGACATTTCTGTTTTTCTTTTATACCAATTTTTACAGGCAGAAAATGACCTGAATGAACTAAAGCCTTTAGTGCATTCTCCTCATGCTATTGTGGTAAGAGGCGCACTTGAAATCTCTCAAACGTTGTTGGGAATAATTGTGGTAAATACACTTTTGTTCTTAGTTTCACATTTATGCTTATTTTAGTAGGTTATTGATAACTTTAGGCCTCTGCTTCTTATAAAAGATAAGACCTAAAAGTATGTAGTTAAATTTCATATAATTAAATTTGTAAACTAGGATGAGTGTTTACGTTTTAAATTGAGTTTTATATTTTTAAAGTTGTACATAGTAAATGTCATTTGAACCTAGTTTATAAATTAAGCTTTACAGAAGTTATCTTGAAAGATCTTCATGCTTTCAGTGCTATTTTATATTACTGAAAATACCGAGTGTACTGGTTAAAGAGAAAATGTGTTTGAGTGTGTGTATATCCATATAGCCTTAAGAAACTGATATTTAATTACTTTTTTTTTTAATTAATCTTTGGGAATTATAGTTAATTTGAACTAACTGTGATGGTGTGCTCAAGAATTTTCCATTCTTGCATTCCAGTTGTGTGAATTGACAGTGTCAGAGTTTGTGTAATAGTATCACTCTGGCAGAGGGTTTGTATGCAGATTTGACCATTTGGCCCTGTTCACAGGCTTTATTTCTTTGACAAGATCAGTTTAGTAGTTTAACCTGTTAGCCACTTACATAAATCTGAATGAATCTTTTAGACTAATGGGCTTTAATTCTTCAGTTGGTGAGGGAGAGGAAGGGATAAGTTTTTTCTAAGTGCTGGTTATTGGAAACCGTGAAGAATCAGCTGCTAGCTGGTGGCTGCTGGCTTTTTAACTTCTAGCTGATTCATTTGTTGTCAAAAGCAGTTTCCTGCCCGATGGGGGAGGGAAAGAAGGGAATAGGAAGTGAAGTAGGAAAACCAGCTATTTGTTAAATATTAGTAAATGACTGTTACATTTTGATTTTTTTTAAATTAGATCAAACAGTAATCTTTTCTGCCTTTGTCTATAAACTTAATAGAGACTTAGTTTTTTTTTTCTTTCTCTTTTTTTTTGAAATCTTATTGCAAGAGAGTTCTCAAATTCTTAACATAATTCTATACAATAATATAATCTTAGGCAATGGGCTTCAGGTGAATTAAAGGTACAAACAAGTATAGACAAATAGGGATTCATTTAAATTGATGATCTAGTATATTATTTTTATTCTTCCAGTAAAAACTTAAATATTAAAAATTTTAAACTACTATTGAGACAGATGATTGATAATAAATTAATTTATTGAATAATCAATTCCATAGTAGAATTTAAACAGAAATCAAAATAGTTAAACATCTATATTCAAAGGGGTTACCAATTTTTCAGTAACTATAATTTTCATCAGTGTGTTTGGGGTTTTAAAAAAAACCTAAGTATATTTTTATTGGGCAGTTTTCCATAAATTTTTAGCTGTGACTGAATGAGCTAAAATAAAAGACAATTAAATGGCCAAAATAAGAATTTTAGGGTTCCTTTCCCACTGGGCAAGTTAGCACTGCTTACGTGGTGACAGTAAAGAACTTGCCTGTGGGCTATTTTAAAATAAGTGTGTGTGATTTCTTGGAGATTGTTTTCCTTTTTTAAGCTTCACCCAAATTATATCTTTGATTTAGTAGTAAAAAATTTAATAGGCTCACTTCCTATTTTTTTTATTTGTTTATAGTAATTTGAGACTTATGTATTGGATTTAAATTGTGACTG